ATTGCCCTCTTCGATGTACGTAGTTCATCTGACTTATCTTTCCGAGTTTTGTGCTCGCTCACATAATTCTGAATCAGCTGTGCGACGAGATCGACGATATGCTGTGGACTTCTGGCAAAGTGCTGCTGGAATCGCTGTGCTAAAGCTTCCGATAATTTCGCATCGACAAGCGCCGAAAGAGGATCGGCTTTGTTGTCGCCGTCGGTGAGCGACTTAGTCACAGGCTTCTCCGGCACGAGCCACCGTTTGGTGGCATTCACAAAGATGGACCCAGCTGTGTCGTCGGCGATGTTGGCTTCTGTCAAGAGGGTAATGAGAACAGTGACTCTGTTATCCAGGTCGCTGATGCGTCCGAAGATGCCTTCCATCGTTCCTATTGCTCCCCTCTTATCTCTTGTGCGAGTGCGAATCTCGACGCCGCCTTGAGATCCTGGCCCGAATGTCCAGTCACCATCGCCATCCCAGAAGAGGTTCGTCGCGATACTGTCAACCTGTTTGGTGTCGCAGGCAACCTCCATGTAACGCGTAAGAATTAGGCTTGGAAGCATGCTCCATTCTTTGTCTAGAGAGGGCCTATCTTTCGCGTAGTTGAGCAACGCCCAAAGCGGCAGTATGATGGGATGAATGAGACGTCGAATCAGTCCGCCATGAGAATACGATGAAAGAATTGTCTTCAGTCTTCTGAGCGCCGTCTTGAGTTCCTGTTCCGATACAACGGTCTGCTCAGGCTTCGATGCGCTGACATTCTTTGGGTAGATTGCTTGGAACAAGGGCTTCGCAAACGTGTCCCATCCCATGGTTCCCGGTGCGCCAGTCGTCTTCTTACTGAGGATGCCACCAGCGATGATCTGCCCAGCAGCTCGACTGAGCTCTTTGCCCTCGCTACCATCTATGAGATGCAATAGCTGAGGAGAAATCTTCACGAGCCATTCGTCCTGACTGATCCCGCTCGGTGGTAGAACTAGTAGCTTCGAAGCTTGCGAAACAGCCTCTAGTGGGATTGGTATCTGTGATTGAGGTCCTGATGCGCTCTGAGGTACATGAGAATTCTTCGATAAGTATGACAGCGAAAGAAACTCGATGGTGTGGCGAACGCCTTGGGTCCGAAGAGGTACCAACGAGAGCTCTGAGGATATGACAGGTTTGAGCCAGGTAGGAAGAGGCTGCTGGAGAAACGTAGTCAGGATAGGGAGTAGGCGTGATGTTGGAGTATCCTTCATTATCTGTTCGTAGGTTTTCGAATACCTCGACTTTGCTGGCTCTAACGACGTAGGAGAGTAGGATAGCTCAGCCACTGCAGAAACGATGTCCGGAAGGATTCTCTGTGACAGAAGCGGCTGTACACCCGAGCCCTTCTGCTCCATCATGGGCAGAAAAGCGTCAATGACGGCCCCTAACGCATCCATATCGTGATTCGGAGGCGTGAAGATTACGGCGGTCAGGACTGACCTTGGACGTTGATTGAATGCAACACCGGAAGACAAACGTGGGATCACTGCGAGAATAGTGATGAGATCTACGAGACCGTACACCACTCCGGCGAGGGAAGCATCGTAGGGTGCATTAAGATCTGCGGCTAGGTCTGCAGTGTTAATGGCCTGGAGGTGGACGAGCGCTTGCTCGACGAGAGTATCGGTAGGCACGTCGGCACTGTATTTGCGGTCCTTATCGACGAATGGGCCGATGAAGTTGGCTGCCGCATCCACTGCATCTTCGACCGCTCCCATCGTGTTTAGCGGTGCCGCGAAGCTGAGCGCAAAGTGCTGAGCGCGGCTGTGGGTATAGTGGTGGCTGTATTGCCGGAGCGTGTTGCTCACGATAAATGTGCGAGATCCACCACGAAGGCTCTATATAGTCCAACGTTATTCGCTAGATCCCATAGAATTCCCTATTCATTGTTCCGTGAGATGATGCGATGGAAAATGGCAACGGGCAGGCGAAGAAGGATATTGCTGATTTGTCAGAGAAGGATGGGTCTCACGTGCTAGCGTCAATTCGACGCGAGGCAGCCGCGATCTCTTGGCGCGAGGCGACGCGTCTTCGCCCTGCTCCTGCCGACATGAATCCAACAACCACCCCGACGTACCCATCGCCACACGACATCCATCTCTGTTCAAATACTACAACTTCTCATCGCGTCTCGATTGGATCCTGAGCCATGCAAGCGTCACCGACATCGTCTGACCATGTCAATCGCGGCGGGACTGTCGCGTAACGCTCCCTTTGTACACAACTTCTTCTCTCGCTTGCTTGCAAGCACCCCACAAGTCACTTCCCCCACAGTTACCGATGTCTGTCTTCCATTTGGAATGCGGTTCGTCCGCACCTCACGCACTTGCGCAGTCATCACACGCCCGAGCCTCTTAGCATGGTCTCAATGGTCGTCTGTATGTTGTCTGCGCGCCTTGGTGGAAACACCGGGGTTGTGTGTGAGGAGGGCAGGCTCGGATCTTAACCCTAATCATCTTCCGGTATTCGATGTGCTTGTAACACAACGGATAGTATCGCGGTCATGTCGCCGACCTTCCGACTAGCCCCTGCATATTGGTCTGCTCTCGTGGACCTACTTGCTTGGTGTGCAAAAGGAAGACTCGAGGTACGGGAGCGGGAGCTCAAATTGGGATGACATGTGCCTGTCGGGGTATTAAAGTTCTCGCACGAGGACCACGTCGGCATCCCATCTGTACAACAGACTCTGGTCACGAAAGATAGCTTCACGACGAATGCGACGAGGCGAAGAGGAGAGCTCTGAAGTCAGATGCCGGTCGCCTCACTAGAGGATCGACTTTGGGTTTCATCATCGCGCCTAAATCACAGTCCCCTCGATTCCGAGAGCCATACAGGAGCTGCAATACCTGATGCCAACTATCACCATGTTATCAGCAGACGTCATGCCTACAGCAACGGGACAGAAGAAGAGCGCGGCCTTGACATTGATCAAGCCAGACATACAGACACATCAACTTGTTCGGCTTCGGCTGGCGTGAGATCCACTCGTCGGAAAGGCGAAAGCCTAGCGAGGTCTCGATACGTCGCAGGTTGGTGTTGTCAACTACGGCGGGCCGTCACGCTCCGGATCTGATGTCCTGACGTTTGACACACGAAAAGTCTGCTGTGTCTGCATGTGTTGGATCAAGTACGTGGCGTTTGTACTGCATGGCAATCTGTTCGAGCCGGACTTATGTATGGCGACGAAGTACCCGTGCATCTCGCCCACAGGAACCAAAGTCCCCATCAGATCTCCAACCTCTTCCTTCATCTACTACGTTACGAAGCCGGTGTCACAGTATTACCACTCGACACCAGTCACTCTAGGGTGATGTCTGACCAGTCGCGTTAGTCGCCAACACGTATGTTCAGCATACGTATGAATCGGCGAGCGTCTACCCATCCGATCGAGCAGTTCCATTTCTGTTGCGATCGTCAATGCGGCTTTTGAGGATGTCCTTTGTCCGTAACATCATGCCCTTCGTTTCTCAAGAGAGCGGAGCGGAAACAAAGACTAGTCTCAGGAAGTCTTGTCACTACGCACAGAGAGAAGCATCTTGGCTTAACAACCCATGATGATTGTGTCCATTGGTGAGTGTTGCGTGTCTGTTGTGCCAAGCTGACTAGGATCCTGTTGTTGACGCAAGCTGGAGCACGGAGACGATGGTCTTGCAGCAATGGGAAGAGATGGTAGTGTTGGAGTTGCGACGGCGCCTTCTATGGAGACATGATCGCATTGACAGGACCTACAACCTCGGAGTCACTGGTTTGCATTCTTTAGCTTGGCCATACAACAAGAGAGCTGAGCATGAGAGTCTGGAACCCGCCGACAGCATATTGGTGGACAGTGAAAGCCATAACGCAGTGCTTTCCGAGCCAGAGAATGGAGATGGGACCTCTCAAGAGTGAGGCTCAAGGTCTAGACCTGTCTGTCAACATTTCCTGCGACAAGTTCCTGCATGCTCTTCATTCTTCCATCCAAATATTCTTCGCGGTCATATCACCACCTGTCTTCGCTACGGTCTCTTGGCTTATGCCCTGGATGCATTACTACGTGTTCACCGACGTCGGTCTTGGAGATGCGATTGGTGTGAAAATGGGGGAGCGTGGCATGGCGTCATCGTGGGTGGTTCAACGGCCGTCCTTCGGGATGGCCAACTCTTTTTTCGATAAGTCTTCTGTCTTGGACGGCTAATACTACGCTAATTAATGCAGGTACCGAAATCGGCTCTGGACCACTCTAATGTTCGTATTGGGGCTTGCAGCTGCAGCGGGTGCACCCCTCAGGTGTGTCAGCCCTTGGCCAACCGAGCTCGTACCCATTCAGCCTATACAGACAAGCTACAAAAACGAGTCACCAAGACCGCCACATTCCTCACGCGACCCTCCTTACTCCAAATATTTTTTAGCAATATCTGTGGACTTACAGATCAGACCCTAAATTATCGATCACGAGCTACCAAGCGTTGTCATTCTCGTCAGTCGGGGCATATGGTTGGAGCGACAAATCCATACTCTATTGCTTGGCTCGAAGCCTCTTCCACAGGATGAAGGAGGAGGTGAAGTCTCGGTACTCACCGTTGCTAGTATGCACCAATAGGGAACCGGTTGGGTACGAAGCTTGGGAGAGATTACCAGGGAATGATTCGGCGACAGCATGCAATACCATGCACTGAAGGTAGCACAATACAAACCTTGTTTTCAACGGCCAGACCACCTGTGAGTAAGCGACGCTACATGCTATTTTGAGAAGACATTGGCATAGCCGTCTTGACAATGATCGACTCCTATAGGGCCTGCGCTCATTCATACGACAAAAGCGACGTATGGATTGTGCTCGACGGTGATTAAACGCACATGTATCACTCCACATGCATCCTTTTACACCATGCTCGAGCCATCGCGAACCACGTCATTGACAGCTATAAGCTTCTAACGCTGGGTATAAATCGGGATGCGACTCGCAACAACTTCAACGCCATTGCTTCACCGTCTTCAATCCTGAGTTCAAGATGTGGGGCTTTTTTGTTCAACTTGTTCTCGCGTTCACTTTGCCAGCTTTGGCCCGCGGCGATACCTGTTCATCAGTCGCTTCTCTCGGTTACATCACCGTCACGTACCCCCTCAACCTGGCCTACATTGAAGAACAAACCCAGTATTGGTCTACTTCGTGCTCTGCTCTCCTCCCATCTTGCATCATCTTCCCGAAGACGGTAGAAGAAGTCTCGACCGTGGTGCAAATCCTCGCCAACACTACTGAACGCTTCGCCGTCAAATCTGGTGGCCACAATCCCAATAATGGATGGAGTAGCGTAGCCGGGGGCCCACTCATTGCTATGGAGCATTTCGATCAAGCCGATCTCGACCGCAGCACAGGTATCGTCGACGTAGGTCCTGGTAACCGGCTTGATGGCATCGCTGCTAAGCTCCAAGGCACGGGCTGGACGTTTGTCGGCGGGCGCATCGGCAACACTGGAGTCGGCGGACTAGTACTGGGCGGAGGGCTCAGTTACATGTCAACGCAGTACGGATGGGCTGCGTCAAGTGTCCTCGAGTACGAGATTGTCTTCGCGAACGGCACTATCGGGCACATCCGGAACGACAATCACCCCGACGTATTCGTCGCGCTCAAGGGAGGTGGTAACAACTTTGGCGTCGTAACAAACTATAAGTTGCAGGCTCACCGACAAGGCGACATCTGGGGCGGCAACCTGGTGTTTCTTCGCACGCCGAGCAAGGACAAGCAGCTACTTCAAGCAGTTCGTGACTGGACAGAGTACAACGAGGATGAGAAGGCTGCGGTCATTGTCACGGCTGAGCGAGCGAATCTTAACGTAGTCGACTCTTGGATCATCTTCTTGTTCTATGATGGTCCGACGCCCCCAGCCGGGCTTTTCGACAATTTCACCGATGTCAATCCCTTGCTTGATACCACCCGAACACGCACCTACGCCGATCTCATGGCCCTAAGCAACTGGGTTGTAATCAAAGGCAACGTTGTGGATATCGCCACAGAAACAATACCCTTACCTTCCCGCGCCAACGCTGTCGAGGTTATGGAAGGTCTTCACAAGCACTGGCGCGACATCTCTGACACCACACTACTCGTACCTGGAATCGTAGCATCTATCGCATGGCAGCCATTCCCAAAGAAGATTGCGCAAAAGGCTCGGGAACTAAGTCCTGATCTGATCGATGCTGATGCAGATGTCGATCGCGTTATCATCGAGATGAACTATGCTTTCACACCGCAGTCATTGTATGAGAAGATGGCTGACACCATGGAAGCGACTTATTCTGGCGTGAGAAACAGGGTCCTGGCATGGCAAGCAGAGGGTAAACTACCGGAAGCGTATTTGCCAATCTTCATGAACTATGGGTTCTTTCGGCAGGATTACTTTGGGAGATTGAGGCCTGAGAGCCGGGCGTTGGCGAAGAGGGTTGCAGATGCAGTAGATCCGGCAGGTCTGTTTAGGTCACGCACTGGGGGCTGGAAGCCATGAGCTTGGAATGATGATGATTGTTTCGAGCTTTTCGCTCAATATTGGGCGAGGTAATTCCTCCGAGAGCTGCTGCTTCATCACAGATCCGCTGGGGGTCGCGTGATCTTTGTTAGATGATCCCCATTCAACTCTTTCATGATCTTGCCTAGACCTTCGTGACTGTAGTCCTTCTCATTCCACATGTCCTGCCTCGTGTTAGCAACAACCCTTCGAGCTCAATGAGAGGTTGCGCAGACGTGCGCTGTTGGATGGTTTTCGCGTACCTTGTGATACCGCACCTTGCCCTCTTGATCGAGCGTCAGTGTAATCAAGCTGTTGACCTTCTTCGCAATCGGCATAGGTTTTGGAGTGTACTCCTGCTGCAACTTGAAGATGATCTCATCAGGCTTGGAGGAAATAACCTCCGTCTTGATCGTCCGACTGCTCTTCATGAGTTTCGGGATACCTGTCAGATGTTAGCAAAGCGTGCCTCCTCATCACCGTTTAAGCTTAGGCATTACTCACCATACCACTGCCCAGCAATCTTATACCTCGTATCGCAATAGCTCCATGGGTCGTCGTATACCGCCTCTTTGCCATACACCATCATGTCTTCTTCGCTAGCGCTGCCAGAGTATAAGTTGCAGATGGACTGCACTATTCTCTCCCTCGCAGGCTCCAAATTCATCGAATTTTCAGGATGTGGCTCATAGTCGACTCCCGAAGAGCTGTTTTGCGACTCATCGGCGTTGTGGGTCAATGCGACCGGGTCGGGTCGCTTCTCGAAGTCGTTCTCGAGGCGTGCCGCGGGTGTGTCCTTTCCGGACTTGCCCGTAACTGGAAGTGTCATATTGTCAGCTGGAAAGAAGATTGTGAAGCCGTAGGGATTGTACGACTTTTTGAAAAACATCTACTTCTCATGAACAATGTGTCTTGACGTCATGGCTAGCTACTTTGGGGTGTGGCTGCGCGATGCGAGACGTCACGGGCCTGTCAATGAAGCCGTGCCACAACCTGAACTTAAGCAATCACCGTAAGAGCGTGCCAGAGAGGTATTGAACACTGTGAAGAAAGACCGGGCCAATGCCATTGATCAAAAGCATGTGAGAGTTGCCAGAGGTACGCAAAATCTATCCTCAGCTCGTTTCACATGAGATGCGCAATGCCTGATATGAGCCTCCTGTCGTTCACAACAATCGTCATGTCCCGAGAACGTTCTTGATATGACCCTTTCGTGTTGAATCTCTCGTGTTGCTGTCCGATACATTCAAAATGTGGGTAGCATCTTACAAGCTGGAAGAATGAGTCGATGTCGTAGGCGATGCTACGTATACCTCTGGGGCTTGTCTTGCAATACTATCTGCACTGCATTTTGCTCAGAGGACAGTGAAAGTTCAGTACTACGAGAATGGCCCTAACCTTCGATATGGATAGGCCATTTCTCTACAGCTTCATAGAGCATCAGCAGACTGCCCATGAGATATACTGCGGGTGCCCATACCAGAGCCAGTGTACTCTGATACTCGCACCAACCTGTGCTACAATATCCCAGACAAGCACTCCAGATCCAACCTATGCTACCCACCAGATTTGTCATTCCAACCCACCACCCGACCATGCGCGGCGCGGGCTTCCACCACTGGCGCTGCACTTCAAACAGGTATAGTATCGAAGCGACCAGGAAGCAGATAGCCCCAAGCAGGAAAGAAGGATAGTATAGCCCATAGAGCACACTTTGCGGGAGGTTCTTGTATACACCTGGTAAGGTGAGGAGATTCGTGACCCAGTAAATGGCTGTACCAATGAAGAGTGTGAGATTTGCGTTGAAGCCGATTTCTCGACGGTAGTGAACGCGAACATCCTGCCATGTGGGCCACCATTTCCAGGCTTGCTCAGGCCCTGACTGCGGACGTGCCTCCACCTTGAACGTTTTGGTGTGCATTATTCGATGTTTCATGCGGTCGGGGTTGTGGATATGCGTGCAGTTTCGACGGTCGGGTTGGAAGCCGGAATGGTTCTCGGTCGCTTTCTCTTCGTCCGGAGACGCGAGTTCGATGTTCTCGTTGTCGGAGTTCAAGCTTTCCTTGAGCGCCCAGCCAAAGCAGTCGCTCTGGTTGGCGTTCACCGCTTCGACTACAAGGAGCATGCCACCCAGCAGAAACAACATTCCACGGAAGAAGGATATCGCGCCGCTGACGGTGGTCGGGTCGGCGGCGAATTGTGTATCTGGATATGCGACTGGAAGCCATTGAAGGACGCCAGACGTGATGGAGCATATCGAGCCGACAGTAAAGACGACGCCAACCCACCACGAAACGTCCCACCAGGCTATGACTGTGATCATGCGCACAAGCGCTCGAAGAAGGCGCGTAGTACGTTCGGTGCGCGAGGGTGCTTGACCGTGACTGAGGAGAAGGATGTGCCGGCCTGGAGCAGAGACTAGTCGGTACAATCTTCGGCTTATGTATAACATAGCTGTGTACGCACCCTTTCGATTCTCGCGACTCCACCACTCCCATTCCGTCCCGCTTGCGTGCCCATCTTCGTTGTTGACGGCATAGCGCCGTGAATTGGCATTTTGGAAGTTCAGGACCTTGTGCGAGCTACCGTGAACGTAGTCTACCTGCTGCGACGAGTCCTGGAGACAGTCTTTGTCATTGCTGGGGGCGGACATGGCTCGAGAATTGCGCGAGAAGAGAAGACCACGATCGGGCTATCCCTGTGTGAGGCTTCATGTCTTTCAAGGTTTTTCGTCGCCATAGCTTCTCGCATCATCTTGGGCCCCCATGAAACGCGTCCTGAAAGCGGTAAATCAACCCATCGACGACAAGATGATGATGGGTGATGTCATGGTGTGGAGAGTTTCGCGTCGATCTTGGCAGGGAAGCTGTCGGCTAGCGTCTGGGGTTTCCACATGTCGCGGCCCCCCAACTCTCAAGTTAATGACACGACGCATTCGCGATCACTCAACATCAAAAACGAGCGCGAAAGTCCAGGCGACACCCTCTTTCACTTGTGATGAGTTGTTTCGGTCTGGAGAGTCATCTGTGACCCGGTGCGCGATTGGAACCGCACCTGGGCACGTATGAGCATGTTTCGTGAAACAAACCAAGCTACCGGAGAACACCCATATGAGTAATCGGTCTTACATTTCTAGGAGACAGCGTGCACGAATAAAAGTAATGTCAAGCAGCCGAGTCAGAGGGCTCGGGATAGTGCGATGCGATGGTTCCTGCATCTTACGCTCATGCCCCGTCCTGCATTTGTCGCTCATCAATCTCAAGGTCGTCGAGCAACATCCGCGGACCATGCAGTACTCGCACTATTTGCAGCGTACAGATTGCGTTCGATGTTTCGAATAATACACGCGCTCTTGCATTCTCGAGGAAGTCCGGCAAGTTAATTCTCCCCATGGTGGAAAAGCACTCGCAGACAGGTCTCCCATGTTCATCGCGTCTACATGAAGGTGCCACGCGTACGACAACTCTTGGCTTTTGTGTATAGTCCGCTAATACATCCCGTTGATGAGATTCGCGCACTGAAGCCGACGAGAACTAACAATGGCTTCATTTCGGGCGCATGGCAGGACGGATGCTTCGGCGCCGAAGCGTAATCATGCAAATAGCTTCACACCAATGGTTTGGACAACGCGGAAGGCGATGGGATAGCTGATTACTGACCAAACATGAGGTAGAAGACATGCGCTGTTTTTCTGGATATAAAGCGAGTGCCCTGATACCAATGCTCCTTACCACGTTCATTATACACAGACATTCACCACTCACCATGCTTCGCCGCCAGTCTGCCAGGCCTAGTGGTCTACTCGCTCTCATTTCGAACATCGTTCTTTTTGGATCCCTTCTACCAGTTGCTGCAGCCCAGGATGACGCCACCAAACTCAGAGACTGCTTGAGTAGCTCGAGCATCTTGGCCTCCTTAACGACCTTCCCTGATGCTACGAACTGGGAGACCATTACCTCCCCATGGGCTTTGCGGTTCAATCCAGAACCAGCCGCTGTTGTCGTTCCGCGCAACGAAGACGAAATTGCTGCTGCATTGGTATGCGCCGTAGATGCGGGTGTCAAGGTCTCCCCGCTAAACGGGGGACATTCCTACGGAGCTTATGGGCTGGGTGGTGTGGATGGAGCACTTGTGATCAACATGGAGCGTTTGACGGAGACTACATTCGACGAGGCGACTGGTCTGTTTACGTAAGTGTCCGCGCGATCAACATCAACTTACTATGTGCTGATAGTCATAGCTACGGTGGTGGAAGCCGAGTTGGGCCAGCTGTAACATGGCTTTGGGAGAACCACAGGCGTCACTTCCCCCACGTCCGAGCTAATTGGGTAGGCCTTTCTGGGTCTTCCATCGGTGGCGGCTTTGGAACCACCAGTCGTTTTCTCGGAATTCCTATGGATAATCTCGACAGCGTCAAGGTGATGCTATACAACGGCACAGTGGTCACTGCTTCACGCAAGGAAAACCCAGATCTGTTCTTCGTTGTTCAAGGTGCAGGCTCTTCTTACGGCATCATCCTGTCTTTGACTACTCGCACTTGGAAGCCGGAGTTCGACATTGTCACAAATTTCACGATCTCACTTGGTGCTGTCGACCTTGACACAGGCGCTCAAGCCCTCATCGATATCCAGGACTGGGCCATGACTAAAGCACCCGATACCTTTGCTCTACGATGGCAATTGGCCGGCGAATGGAACGGTAGTGGATACTTCTACGGTAACCCTGACGAGTTTGATGCCCTATTTGCTGGTCTCGTAGAACGTCTCCCAAACACCACCACGACCACCGTGCGAACGGCAGATTTCTGGGCTATGGAGAACTTTGCCGTTCCACAACTCAACGGAACCACCGACGCCTTCCCTCCGCGCAGCATGTACCTACAAGCACTGGTTCTGCGCAAAGATCAGCCTTTTACCTTCGAGTCCGCCAAAGCGCTCTACCAGTACACAACACTCGCCTTCAACCGCACTGACCTGACTGAATTTGGCTTCTTGGACTTA